GGTATTTCTGTGTTTGTATCTGTGTATATATCTGTGTATTTCTGTGTGTGTGTATATCTGTGTATTTCTGTGTGTGTCTGGGTATTTCTGTGTTTGTATCTGTGTATTTCTGTGTCTCTGTGCATTTCTGTGAGTGTATCTGTGTGTGTGTCTGTGTGTGTCTGTGTGTGTCTTTGTGTGTCTGTGTGTGGATGCAGGTGAACGTGAACATCCTGGAGGCTCAGAAGCTCGTCGGTGTAAACATCAACCCTGCGGTTTTTATCAGAGTGGGAGGTCAGAAGAGACACACGGCGACGCAGAAATCCACCAACTGTCCGTTTTACAGCGAGGTCGAGTGGAGTCCAGTTTAAACCTGCAGGCAGAACTTTACTTTGTGAATTTTTAAATTAAAAAGTTTTTTTTCTATTTTTGCACTTTCAGAACTTCCAGTTTGAGTTCCAGGAGGCTCCACAGATCTTCTTTGATGAAGTCATCGAGATAAAAGTTTGTGTGTTTATTTTATTCTAACTCTTTCCTGCTGCTAAAAAAAATCAAATAATCATCAAACGATCCCCTGTGACGTTCCCACCACTCAGGTTTTCCACAGACGGGCTCTGGCCTTTCTGATGACCCACATCGGAACCTTTAAGATTGACATCTCCACCATCTACAGTCAGCCAGGTACCGGTGCCTCTCATATCTTATCTCAAACTCACCTAAAACCCGCAGTAGTCTCTACATCATGACCTCTCTGCTGCTCCAGACCACCGTTTCTACCAGAAGTGGGCTCCTCTCACCGACCCGGCAGACACCCGGTCAGGGGTGAAGGGTTACGTCAAGGCCAGCCTGAGTATCCTGATGAAGGGAGAAGCTCTGCTGATGCCCAGTCTGCCTCCAGCCTCCTCGTCTGCAGGAGGCGAGGACATAGAGAAGTCAGTCGTATTCATCATTATAAACACAAACAAACGGCTCTAATGTCAGATGTCACAGACCAAAAATTGGAAAAACGACTGAACAAAGACTATGTGCATCAGATCAGTTTTATATAACTCTAGWTTTTGTAGCTTTCTGTGCTTTTACAGGTAAAAACATAACCCAGAATTTGTCAGAATGTATGAAGACCCCTTGACAAAAAAAAAAAAAAAACATTTAGCAATAAATGTAAATAAAAGTGATTTTAAAATGCAGGTTTTAGCTCATAAATGTCCTAAAACATCCTGTAAAAGGCTTCAGTTCTTTCATGTTTGCAGACACCTGATGCTTCCTCGTGGCATGCCTTCAGAACGCCCGTGGGCTCGGTTCCGTGTCCGGATCTACCGAGCTGAAGGTTTGCCGACAATGGAGGCGGGGCTAATGGCTAAGGTGTCTGTCACTGACAGGGCGGTATTTATTGACCCCTACGTACAGGTGACCTTTGCTGGACAACAGGTACGTAGACTGTGATTTATCTTATTCACTAAAACTGTATTTTAGAACCTAATCTTTGCAGCTCATCAGTTACAAAGATTTGTTTTTGTTGCTCTGAGGAAAGAGTGAATTGTGTATTTGCAGAAGCTGATACCTGATCCTTCTGTTTGGTTTCAGGGTGAAACGTCCGTCGCCTGCGCCACCAGCTGTCCTGTGTGGAAYGAAGAGATCTCCTTCATCGAGCAGTTCCCTCCACTGGCTCAGAGAATCAAAGTTCAGGTTCTGGATGATGCCAAGATGGGAGACGTTGCATTGGCAACCCACTTCCTGGACCTGAAGCAGATATCTGACCCTACAAGGAATGGTATGACCCCCTGAAACAGAACAAAGAAACTAAACATAACTTTAAATAGCATTGAACATCTGAACATAAGATTAGACCTTGGAAACACGTAAAATCTTATTCTGTTGTCTTATTTGTGCGTTTGATCTTTTACAAGTTTTTACTTGTTTTAATTTTTGTTGTTGTTTTAATTAGCAATGTGGAAGAAAATGATTACATTGTTTTTTTTTTTTTTCAAATTAAAATTGGTTTAGTGTTAAGATAATTTTCCAATAAACTGACTATAAAACAAAGTGAAAAGAAACAAAGAATAACTGAGTCAGAGCCTTTAAATAAGCTTGAAACTCATATAATTTTATCCCATTTGTTGTTTTGGTTAAAGTGTCTGTGACATCTTCAAATACAAAAAAATTAAAGAAAATATCTTTATTTTTAAGAACCTTGACACACAATTTACCCATTTTGTCACATAATAAACATAATTTTATTTGAATTGACATCAAATGGAAACTCTTAAAGTGCCCTGTGACATGCATAATCTTCAAATACAAAAAGTCAAAGAAAACATCTTTATATTTAGGAAAGTTGGAATAATACACACGATTTAACCCATTTTGTCCCATAAATCGCATATTTTCTTTTGAACTTGGCTCAGCTAAAGTGAAACAGGAAGTGACATCAGAGGGGAACTCTTAAAGAAAACTATCTGGTCTTTGTTTATTGAAACAATATTATTTGAACTCTGACTCTTCTTCATCTCTCTGATAGTGACTCAAAATAATCTTAAGAAACATCAGATTCTTCACTAGAGTCTTTGTTGTTAGCTGTTGTAGCGACGCTCTGTTCACATGCAGACATTCCCCCTTTGACATCACTTCCTGTTACTTCACAGGCAAATATCTCAACAAATGTTCATCTCAGCAACATGAAATTTCTTTTGCAAAATTGTATCAATATCCTCTTTCTAAAAATGCATTCATATGTATTACAAAAAATTTGACATCGCAGGCACTTTAAAGAAAGTAAACAATATGTWTTTTTTTTTTTGTTGAGACAGTATTTTTTAACTCTGACTCTGCTTCATCTCTCTGATTCAAAATAATCTAAAGAAACATCAGATTCTTCTTTATTCTGCAAGCCACTGTGGCAAGAATCCGTTCACATGCAGGCATTCCCCTTTGACATCACTTCCTGTCACTTCAAAAGCGAATATTTCAACAACTGCTCATCTCAGCTGCGTTAATTTTTTTTTCAATATATCAGCAATGTTATYTTTCCAATTCATACATGTTACAGAAATGTGATGTTACAGACACTTTAAAGTTTCTGCTTGCCACTTGTCTGCAGGGTTCAACCCAACTTTTGGTCCGAGTTGGGTTAATCTTTACGGGTCTCCTCAGAACTCCACGCTGGGTGATGTCCACCAGGTAGAAAACACTCAAACAGATATTTTATTTGGCCAAGAATACAGTGTCTTAAAATGCTGTTTGGACATTTTAAGTGTTTTGCTGGTTTGTGCTGAGCCATGCTGCAAGATAACGTTTTAGAGAGCTAAGCTGTCATCTTTAACCTTTGAGCCTRAAGCAGGAGTTTCTTTCTTTCAGGCTTTGAACGAGGGTCTGGGTGAGGGGCTTTTCTATCGAGGGCGGATCCTCCTGGCTCTCTCCATGGATGTTTACTCGTCCCCCTCTGCCGTCCCCACAGAAACAGGCTCTGCCGCCGCAGCGAAGGTACTTCTCAGAAAATCTGCTCTGAGTTTTTCACCGTGACGCATCAGCAGCTTGTTTGTCCTTATATCTCCTATTGGATGAGTCTTTAGAGTCACCGAGTTGTTTCCATGGCCACGGCACAGCATCCGTTCTTTTCTGACTCGWGAATCTATATTTCGTGTCCTTGAAGGTAAAAGGAGCGCTGGGAAAGTTTGGG